CGCTTTTTAAAAATATTCTTTATTATTATTATTAATTATAAACATTATACTAAGTTATATATTAATATAAAGTGTTAGTGTCTTCCAAACATCTCCCATCAAAGCAAGAACTAGACAAAACAATCGAAGAGTATTTGATCTGAAAAGTTAATTCTCTTGTAAGTGAACGTACTACTGTATCCATTTGATTTCTATCTGGCAACACTAACATAGAAATCAAGATTCAGTGGAGAGGCTAATTCACATGACACCATGTGTTCAGTGCTAAACTCCGGACTTCAGACTCAAAACACAAGTGTGGTATGTTACTCTTCCCCACTGACTTTATTCATTGATATATTTAGTTTTTCTGTTGAAATAAGTGGAATAAAATACATACACAAGCAATCTTGCAGGCTACAGGCAACAGTAGCCTTAGACACATTAAGGTCAAAAGAGATTGACCCCCAGAAACTTGGAAGTAAGTGACAGAATAAAACTAATCCAATTAATCCAAGCTGCATCTGGCTGTTGAGTCCTCTAGAACCACAGGTAGGAATCAACTGTAAACTGTTCCCTTTGATACATAAGTTGGTTAGAAGAACCAAGAACTTGCAAATGTTCAATTTGTTTAATTCTCATAAGTAGGGGGAAATGACCTAATTTTCCTGATATAAATTTCACAGGCCAGTTACTCTACAGTGCACTTGTATGAACAAAAACTACTTACCCAGAGGGACATTCGGAAAGGCATTTCAGACAAAAGAAGCCCTAGTGTCAAATATTTTAGTCATTAAAACATAGAACAGCTGCATGGTCTCAGTGAGGTAGTGTCTGGAGCAAGAAAGCAAGTTGGTAAATGTGTATGTCAATGAACTTCATTTTGGACAATTATAATTTATAGAGATTGTGTAAAAATAAATTATAGCACTGATAAGAGCAGCTTTAACGTCCGTTAGAATAATTGACTTCTGAACAGTTGTAAATGCAATGTCTCTATCTAAACCTCTTATATATTACATAGGTATGGCACAGTTTTTTCTCCTCAGAGGGAAGATTCACTACTGAAGCACAGTAGTTACTTTTTAATTTTCTAGAACAGTGAAAGAGAATGGTCGTGTCTGAGACCTGAATGCCTGTCGTATTTTCTGCAGCGACTTTTCAAGAAGTATTAACGGTTCCACACTTCATAAAGAGGCAGCTCTGCATGCATCTATAAAGGATAAAACCTATCATGCCTCCATACCACAAAGGTTAATAGAACCTAACAATTCTGTGCCTAATGGGATAGTAAAAGTCTGCAAGTCACACTTGCCTAAACACAAGTCTAATACCCTTTACATACCTCTGCTGACAGACGTGCACCTGTCTCTCTGCTGATGTGGTGGAGTGCAAAAAACCATTCAGTTGTATGTTCCAGTATCAAGGCTCTTCTTTCAATGCAACTTTAGCCAATTCAAAAGAGTTCACATAAAAGAGCAGAGCAGGGAAGTCACTGCCCATTCAAAGGCCCTGTTGTGAATGTGTCAGATTACCTCCTCAGGTGTGGTTAGATTTCAAATACAGCGAAGGGCTATGTGTAAAATCCTACGCACACTGGGATGACTGAGAAAATACAACCAGCAGCTTGTTACATACGACACAGACATCCTGCAAACAGTAGATAAGCACAGATCACTAAACCAAAAACTGAGGAGTTATTGCCTAAAATTAACCTGTACAAACCCAGAATTATGAGCTCCAAATTTATGAGCACAGCACTGAACAAACCATACAGCAAACCCACCTCCCTGAATTTTAAGGCAACAACGCTACAGGGATTTTGCTAGTATTTTTCACAAAGCATTACCTCTACCAAACACAGATGTTCCTTAGATGCATCAGGTTTGCTCAAAATTCAACACCACAGTTAGAGACTGTAATTAACAAACAGGATCAGCTGAGGATGTAGCACAGGAATAGCTTCAAGAACAGTGCCAATGCAGAGAACCTTTAAATAATGTTAAATTTGTTTTCAATACAGCATCCTCAAGGAACAATGAATGAACAGCTACTGAGTCCCTGTCCAACACTAACAGAACAGAGCCTGGAGGCAGGATGAAATCCTATTTGCAACATGATTTTCAAAGTGGTTCCACATGTTCTGTAAAATCTAAAAAAGGATAAATCTGTGCTAGCACTCTACAAACACCCCAACTCTGGGCAAAAAAAAGAAACACCTGAAGGGAAGAAGTTAAACACACCAACTTAACGCTACTTTTAACAGTGACATATCTTTCTTCCATCAAACTTTCATGATCTCTCTTTTACAAGAGAAACCGAGAGCAAACATTCCCTGACTGTGTTTGCACTAGTCTTCTCTCTCTCTCTCAAAAAAAAAAGAAGTCTTACCTGAATAAATTAGCAAGCATCAGAAGAAACAAAGCCCTCACAATGGCATCTATTATATTATTTTCCTGTATTTTTATTTCATACAGAATATCTTAAAGACAGTGTTAACAATTCTTGGGTCTTCACCAGCTATACAGCTAAAATCTTGTTCATCACTTCCAAAGGTAGACTTCCACTCTGTTTTTAATAAATAAGGCTGATGATTTTAGAGAGAGTGCAGGCAAGGCAGACCATAAAGAATAAGGTCAGATTAACCCCCGCAGACACACATTAAACTGTGGTTGAGAAGCCACACTACAGGCAACCACAGGACCACACTGGAATACCAAATAGGGATTTACAAAAAAAGATATCTTCACTGTTTCAGACTTGAGAGCATTCCTATGAGTTCACTATTCTTAGCAAGATCTGCTTATTCTGCTCCACTGAGAATATCAGGAAGAAAAGATACCCCATCAGATATTTAAGGTCACAGGTAGCAGCATACTTTTCCTGGAACGCATGTATTTTTGAATAATGCCCAAGAACTGTATGACAGGATACTCTCCTTCAAGAGCACAAAGTGCTATTCTTTTTGTGAGCAAAATACAGTACCACCCACTAGAACGATGACTCTACATCTGGTTTATCTTGTTCGCTCACAATGCCATACTTCCTGTCTATATCTATGAAACAACAGTTAACACCCGCCTGGCATCTCAAGCCTAATAACACTTTTCCCTAATGACCATCTCAAAGCACAGTATTTTGGAAGATAAATTAAAATTGAATAAACTAAAGTACCTCAATGCCCAACTGCTCTGATTTTAAGTTTTCATCTAATTGTGAGATTGCTAAATATTAGCAGTTGAACATCCGGACTTCCTGATATTCTCAGTGGAGCATTCTCATAAGAAGAAATGAGTTTACTTTGGAGTAATTTTTCCAATGACCAAATTAACTCAGTGAATTCTAATACAAAGCAGGCAAATAAGGCTAACAAGTCCCAGTGTGAGGACAGGATGCATTTCTATGCCTTTTCACCGAAGAATGGCCCCAAACCTTTTTTATTTTGGGTACATGTGCCTAGAATAGATGAATGCTTCATTTAAATACAGGAAGCATTTGTCACTATAAGTACAAGTCTTGACCGGGAGTTTAAAAAAAACACCTCAGTCTTTAAACAGCAAAGTAGTTCACATCCTTTGTGTTCCTTGCAGGTCAGAGAGTTTTGAGTTAAACTAAATGTCTAAAAATTGGGTTTGATATTTTAGATTTTTGTAATGGGTAAATAATTAAAATGATGATCCTCAAGCTCACAATTCTGTTACCTTCCAGACACTGCTAACATTTTAAAAAGTCCAATCTAAGTTCAAGCTTCCGCAAAGCAGTTACTCAGTTTCAGAGTTCTGGCACAACACCATCTCTTTTTAGTATTAAATTACAATTCCTTCATTCTAGCAGAAAACTAACATAAGACAAAGACAAATAAGCAGCCAACCATAACAAACTAAAAAGCTAGCTTCCACATTGTATATCCTAGAGCATGCATAAAAGCACACACAAGCGAGTACTGGTAGGATAAAATAGGGCATGAACATAGTGTGAAAGTTATTCTAAGTTGATGGCACATCTGCACATACCCACAGGTTTACAAAAATATGCAATAGACAATTTCAAGAGTTTCACCTAGCAACATCACCTGTTTAATAACAGACTTACTTTAAGTATAACAGATAAAAACTAATAAAGGATTCTTAGGTGTCAGAACCATAGACATTTTCCTTGTGCACAGATATTTAAACGGTTAGCTTTCCATAAATGTCATCTGTTTACAGTCTACTGTAGAATTAATATTAGCGTACCTTGAAGAAGTGAGCTTTTGATTACAAGGTGAGCATATTGGCAAGACATCTTAAATTACTTGCTTATCTACTAATATTATACATTATTATAATTTTAATATTTATTTTATGTTATTTCTGAAAAAGGTGGAGGAGGAAATGGAAACAACAAAAGAAAATACCTATTCACAGTACTCAAATAATCTGGAATTATTTCTAGGAATCAAAAAAAGGCCATTTCAATTTCTTATGCATTAATAATCAGTAGCATACAAAAATAATAAATAAAAAAAATAACACAAAAGACATCCAAAATTTAACAAGTGCTCATACCTCAAGTACTGGAAGGAAGCCCATGTGTTTCTTCGCAACATTTTCAACTGTCAAAAGGGAGAAAGAATTCCTTTCCCAGTATAACCCACCACTTACCTTACAAGCAAAATTGTAACCATAGCTTCACTTTTAACAGACATAACCAAGTACATTTCCATGCAATCCAGGAGGTTTATCATTTCTGCCCTTCCAGAAAAATGATGTCGAGTTATATTATTCCTCTGCCTACCTATATGATTTATTTCAGCTAAATAATAATATAGAATATATCAGACAAGGCATTTGTTAGATGATTCATCTGGCTTTAAAAAACAAAAGCAAAACACATCCTTTGTAATGAGGGCTAACTGTAAAATAGGTCAATGTGTAATGGAGCATGCTTCTGGCTTATGCTTGCCAAAAAATAAACCAACAAACAATAATTCATGGCAAGAGTATCTCATGGATATCCAAAAGAAAGGCAGAAATTCTTACCTTAACAGGGAAGCTGCACTTGCCAGTACGAACACCTTCTTCATCAGTCTGCCACTGATGAGGCCTACTGGCCTCTGGGACATAGACATCTTTCTTTCTCCTAAAGCTTTGCCGTAATTTGTTCATTTCTCAGATCTTCACGTCCTAGAAGAATTAAAAAAATATTTTGCCAATAAGCACCAAAACACACATTGGGTTCACTAGCATCACCACAGATATCCCTGTAAAATATTCAGAGCTTCTGCAAATATGAATGGAGGTCCCCGTGAAAGGAAAGTATTTTGGATATAGATTGAGAGAAAGAGGGATATATAGTCAGTTCGAAGTGGAAAACACAAGTCCAACTTACTAGTTTAATATCTTTCTACAACAACTGAATAAAGCATTAGACCCAAAAATAACTGTTACTCTGAGAATAAAATTACCTAAAATAGCTGATGGAGAAGCTCTGAAGAGTGATGGGCATGAAATCCTGCCTCCCTGAATTTAAACACCTACAGCAATGAAGAACAGGATATGAATACCATAGGTTTCTCCAGCATCCATGCAAGACAAAGATTCATAGTCAAAAAGACGTCCCCTAAAATTAGGTATTTGCATTGTTCTTTAATTATGGGGTGATGGGCTCACGCTTTTTTAAGCCCCATGGAGGTAGATGATGCTGGTAGATAATGTTGGGAACATCTACAGTTGTGTTACATGTAATTGTGCCTGCATACATACAAGAAGCCACAAGCTCAAGAAACAATGAACCCAAAGTGTAGCAATGGCAAGCAGTGAGTAGGAGATGGGAGCCCAGGTTTTGAGGGGCACAGTCCGGTTCCAGCCTAACCTACTGGTGCAGTACCTTATACTAAGATGAGAAATACATTTGAGGAAGGCACTGCATTGACTTCCATGTCCTGGGAAAATCTCCAAAAAAAATTCCTCTTCGAAGGGGGAAGAGGGTTCTCTAATTACACTCCCAAAGCTTAGGTTTAGATGTTTTTTATACGCTATACACTTATATACTAATTTCTGTATGCTAGCTAAACTACAGTTTAGACATGCTCACTTCTACGAGATTCAAACTAGCAAAGAAACTATCGGTGACAGTACTAATAAAAAGATCAATATTCAGCTACAGAAGTACATTACATATGATACAATGCGGGGAATATAGAAAACTTGCCAAGAGACTTTATTACTCTTATTTTCTGAAGAATAAACCTTCTGACAAACGTTACATCTCATTTTGGCATACAAAAGATGATGCAGAATGCAAGGCAGCAAAATCTAACTGGATTATAAACACTTCTTTCCCATTACATTAACTAAGCTGCAGAATATAGATGTTTCTGGATGTCAACAGGTGCACTTAGAATGAAAGCATTTTTAAAATCAGTTTTAACACTATTTTAAACCCTGAAAAGAACTGCATTGCTTTCCAGTTAAAACTAGTTGGCAACTAACAGGTGAGAAAAATGAGTACATACGTATTTCTAGTACCTATTAAAGAAACTTAAATTCAAAATGCAACAACTTCAAAGCTGAATACAAATCAAAAATGAAAATCATTACAGAAAACACTGACTACTGATCAGCCAAATTAAAAATATTCAAGTGTTTTCATATCTCGGGAGGCACTTTAGCTATTCCAAATAACAAGTCTGAGCTTTGTCACCATCCCGCCAAGCTTTCCTTCAGCAATTGTTACTTTACTCTTCACATTGCAAGTCATTAGGCAAGTCAGTTCCCATTCATCTCATGGGCACAGCACTGGGTTATTCCTCTAGAACTCCCATCTCTCTGTAATCTATTAATTAAAAGCAATATTGTAAAATACATGTAAGTGATGATTTAAAGGTAGGACCATGAGTAAAGAGAACAGCATTATGTCACTGAAATTGGGAAAATGAAGTTTGCTGAAGCTAATACTTGAAGTGCAAGTAAGTGTGCAACTTAGGTCAGGAGTTCAGTGACAAAATAATGCAATGCTACCTGGACCCACAGCATCGTGAGGCACTCTCTGAGCACGTGATAACTCACTGAGTATTTCTACATCAGCAAACAGCCAAAGCAAACTCCAACTATTGCAGCAACTACCTGTGCTCAAAGCTGCTTGATGTGTGTTTGAAAGCAGTAAGGTATAGCACCTCAAGCAATCAAAATCTCTTGGAAATTCAGTGAAGGTTTTTAGACATACTGCAAAGGCTGGGCAACTGTCCTTAGAAGAGAATCAAGGGCTTCAAATAGCCATGACATCTAAATAACAGTATTTTTATGAAATTTACTTCATAGGACATACACACGCACACAAAAATTAAAAGTATGCATATTTCTTATCACTAAACAAGCTGAAGCAGCTCCTCTACAACCACGGATCCTTTGGCTACCACCATTTTGAAATGTCTGCACGTGCAAAGAGAATTCTGGAAGTTCTGCTAAGAGGAGCTGCAATTTTCCATTATCCAGAGAGTCATTAGAGCATTATTAGTTATATATTTCGCTTTACAAATTGCAGACAAAGGAGTCTGTGAGCCTCTCAGTCTACAGGAAGCAGAAATTCAAGCGGGCCTAGCAGTTACCTCAGGCAGGCAGCACGTTCTGCAGCAGATCTACACAGCGTACCTCAGCTCGGCGGGACAGACAACCACTCCTGTCCCTGCTGAAGCTTGGTAGTCCCACAGCCCCACAAGGAAAACCTCTGCTCCAGCTGCTTCAGTGCAAAGTTCACAGGCCTGGCCAGCTATGTAGCTTACAGTGCAACTGCCAGACCTTGCACTCAGGTGACTGAGAAAGGGGCACACGTACTGTACTCCCTTCCGGCTGCTCTGCCAAAAACAGCAGCAGACTCTTCACCAGCTACAAACACACACAGCAAGGCTCATCTGCCAGCATTCTCAATATGACCAATGAAACAACATTGTTTCAAACCTACAAATGTCTAAAAACAACTTGTGGAGAAGTTTTCAAGGTACTCCAAATCTCAAAAGCTCCAGTAAGCAACAAAAGTTCAAAACAACACGCAGCCACTGTGCCACTTCTGAAATCACAGTTTCCTCACCTTACTGTAACACTTACATAACTAATATTTCATGGGAGATGTCCAAGGCAATATGTATTTGCCCATATGACTGGTATATTACCAGCAATTTACTCCTACCAGGAATCTCAATCCTCAGAGAAGCATGAGAATAAGAGTTCCTGAACTATGCTTCCTATGATAAGCTCAAGTGGCATTTTGCCCAAAAGTATTTCCTTTTTACTAAAAACCAAACCCATTTTCCTACTTGTTCTAATTTTGTGGTCACACTGGCAACAAGCAGTTTAAAAATAGCCTTCCTATTTAATAGAAGTGCTGACAAGTGGCAAGATTAACTTTCTCCAATTGCCATACTTGTATTTTCTGAAACATCAGACTGTTTTGAGTCAGTTGTCAAATAGTTTGCCTCACAAACAACTACTTTGTTGGTAATGTGCATGTCATCCCAATATAACTAGAACTGCCACCTGACGCAAAAGTGCTAAGTAAAACAATTCACACAGGCTGCATATTTGAGGATTCAGGAAAGAAGCACATGAAATGCTACAATTAAATGCTGAAATTCCTACTAAATATACCTAAGCTCAAAATCCTTACCCAGGAATTGTAGAAAACATCCAGAGTGAGCATTTTCTACTTCAAATCCCTGCAGAGCATTTCACATTTTCGCTTAAGTGTAGCATGTCTGCAGATACAATGACAGATGTCAACTGAGGCTGCGACAAGCTAGCAGAGTATTTTCCACTACACTGACAGCATTACTGACACCAAGAAGTATTGTACTCTGTTTTAGGATTATGAAAATTAAAAGTTCTGGCACTGAATTTTCTATATTTAGCAATCAATTTTTGTCCTATAATTAAAAATATTTTTAAAATGCACAAGAAGAAATAAACCAAGCCACTAACAAAAAGCTATTTCCTTTTCACTTTTACGACCCAAAATCCAGCTTGGACTAAGAAAAAAGACAGTGGAGGTATAGTATTTGAAGACAAACCTAGTTAAAAAGCAAGATGAGAAACTCAAAAGCTAATTAAAATAAAAAGTAACATCACATGAGAGTCAACCAGGTAACAAAGGCTGAAAGCACTGATCCTCTGGTGAGAGGAGGAAACATCCACTTCAAGTTCTTCAACACCTTAAGGTTATGTTTACCAGAAAGCTTATTGCAGGCAGCTCAGCATCTGAATGGTCATGCTTGTTGCAAAAAGAAACAAACAAACAAACCACCACTACTTTTGCAATCTAAGAGATTACAACATTAGACTAGTTCCCAAAAACACCACACAAGCATCTAGGCAAAAGTTATTCACCTAGTGAGTTTATAAATTTATGTTGTCATTTATTTTTATGCAAATTGATATATTTTGATATTCTGAAAACACAGCTCCAAAGCTCTTTTTCTGTAGCAAAACAATTTCAGGAGAGCTCTGGCACCATTGTTCTCTCGACCACCTAAATAAGTCTCATTTTAATCCATAGCAGTTCAAGGACAACTAAGGGACAGCACAATGACAGAATCATAGAGAAAAGTGCATTCTGAAGTGTAGAAAAATGCGGAGTTTACAATAAAAAAGTAGAAAGCAATTCAATTCAATTGGTTTAATTGCCTTGTGCATCATCAGGTTATGGCTACAGAACAAATTACCGCACGATAAACTAGTATGTTTATTCATGTCTTATTAGCTGCTCTGCTTTACAAGTGCATTCACTTTTACCCTTCTGTAAATGCAAACCAGCCATTTATCCTTCAGTAAGGGCCGGGTAAGCTTTCACATGCACTGAAGTTGTATCACGCAGGAGTTGCTGATGATGCAGATTTGGAGCTTAGCTTGCCTTTCAGGAGTTTACTCGTGTACCCATACCTTCAGATAAGCAGTTCATTTACATTTTGCATAAACGTTTCTCACAGAGCTAATTCAAACTACAGGATCTGCAGGCAAAAGGACACCGCGGCACCTGAACTGCATTCACAAATTGAAGCAGTTAGATTTTAGACTTGCTGTACTACAAATTTTGCACTTAGAGCAACCACTTACTGTTTCAACACTGAAGACAATAAAAACAGTACAAAACGATTTTTAACATTTTTCTGAACTTCAGCCTTAACAAAGTTTAT